TGCAGTGGGCACGGCTCTGGCTTCCTACCACCCGGCTCACGAGCGGTCACTTCTCACTTTTCCAGGCCTTGCGTCCCACGGGCACTGAGCCTGCGCTCCGAGGGCAGACACAGGGCAGGGCTCCGGCCAGCCCCTCACACTGTCATCTTTGTGACATTATTATTTTTAAAAGGACATTTTTATTGATTTCAGAGAGTAAGGGAGGAGGGGGGAGAGAGAGAGCGAGAGAGAGAGAGAGAGAGAGAGAGAGAGAAAGTGAAAGAGAGAAAGAAACATCAATGATGAGAGAATCATCGATCAGCTGCCTCCTGCCCGCCCCACACTGGGGATCGGGCCCGCAACCCGGGCCTGTGCCCTGGCCGGAAATCGAACCATGACCTCCTGGTTCACAAGTCGATGCTCAACCCCGGAGCCACGCCGGCCAGACCACACTGTCATATTCACACAACCTGAGAGTGACACAGCCCGGCCTTCCCGTTTCTGTGTGAAGACGCCTTGTTTCCTGCCTGCTGTTGACAAAGACAACGGTGACCCCAAAACCAGGAGCACCGTCCCTCAGGCCTGGGCGAGGCTTCCCTGACCCGGCACGTCCTCCGCGAGGCACGGACAGCCCTCCCACGCCTGGGGCCGGCTAAGCAGCAAAATCGCCAGGAAAAAGCACCACAGAAGGTGGGAAACTCTGCAAGTTTTCATGGGTTACACGTAAATTTTAGCAAGCAGGCGCGTCTGCAAATACAGAATCCGCGAGGGATGAGACGACTGCACGGGGAAACCCAGGGTTCCCGGTCCGACCTCCTCCAGCTATGAGAGGGCATGGCCAGCGGCCACTCTCCCGTGACTCACGGCCTCTCCCCTGTGGCTCATGGTCTCTCGCCTGTGGCTAGTGGCCTCTCTCCCGTGGCTCATGGTCTCTCCCCCCATGTGGCTCATGGTCTCTCTGTCCACTGCCTCCCTCTCCCTGCTTAGCACCGACAGGAGACCAGGGAACCAGCTCCAGGAGAACCGGGAGCTGTCTTCCTCCTAAAGCCGCGCCCCCACGTTAAAGGCCACTGGCTGGCCCCTGGGGTCAGCGGGAGCTGGGCCTGAGAGTCTGTCACCGCGGCGGCGGCCGGTATTTTGAAAGCCGCGGCCGTGGAGCTGGCCGCCTCTTTGACACAGACACGCCCTCTCGACAGGCTGGTTATCCTCCCAAAGGGGACACCCTCCTCCTGACATTGTCACGCAGCCCGAGAACCGCCAGCCGGGCCCAGGCCGCAGCTCACACTCGGCATCCCCGACAGGGGCTCCATGAGAGCCGGCGGCTCTGTGCCTGTCAGTCCCTCTCCACGGCCCCTTAAACTCCCTACCACCACCATCGCCTCCATGACACCGCGTCCTCCTGGGAAATGTTCTTTTCAAGCTGAAACGGTGATGCTGTTGGGGGAAAAGGGGCGTTTGGGGGGCAGCTGGTTCTGCCGTGGCTACGGAAATGGGACCAACAGCCACAAGGTCGGGTCTCCCACGAGAGCCACGGGAGCAGCAGGTTCCGATCTCAAACCCCGGCCTAGAGAAAGTGAGCCTCGCCCATCGGCGTGGCTCAGGGGCTGGGCATCGACCTATAAACCAGGAGGTCAGGGTTCGACTCCTGGTCAGGGCACAGGCCCGGGTTGTGCGCTCGATCCCCAGTGGCGGGCGTGCAGGAGGCAGCCGATCCCTGATTCTCTCTCATCATTGCCGTTTCTCTCCCTCTCTCCCTCTCCCTTCCTCTCTGACATCAATAAAAACATATTTTTAAAAAGAAGAGAAGAAGAAAAGAATACACAGGACACCCTGAAAGATGCTTTTCCAGGACACGACGCCCTGAGGCTGGCGACGGCTTTGGGAACCCAGCGCTGGGAGAGGCGGGCGAATCCCAGGCACTCAGTCCTTGTGACCCTAACGGGTGCCTGAAGCCAGACCCCGAGTTGCGGGCTGTCCCCAGTGAGGCACATCCCTCAGAGACCACCCGGGGTGCGCATCTCCAGCTGCACCTCCAGCTGCACCCCTAGCCGGCAGCACTGGTGGGCCCCCAGTATCCCCCCACCCTACCCCCCGCCTGGACGGCCAAGCTTCGAGTCTCCCCGATGGTCCATTAGGCTGAATGGCGGGCGGCACAGCTGGCCGTGAGCTGTGTCTTGAACAAATGCCATCCCTCACGTGCCGCCTCTCTGGGGCTTATTCTCAAAACATTAAGAAAACAAATGATGCAGGAGAACGGGGGTGAGGCCACCTGGGAGTTTATAAATACCTGCCGTGGTGGAGGGCGGGGCCCGCGCGCCTCCATCTCCGTGCGCTGCCAGGCCTGGTGGCCGATG